ATTCGTGATTGATAATCTTACACAACAACAATCAATATCTGATAATAAAAATCAACAGAGACAAAATGACATCCTATCTGCTGTCAAAACACAATTGGTAATGCATGAACAGAATTTTGACCAAAAAATTGAAGAACTTTCTCATCGAACCAGGCAAGAATCCGAACAAAATTCCAAAGCTAATTTGGCCATCATACAAAACGAAATTCTCCCAAAACTCACCATCCAAAACAAAACTTTAGAATCTCAGCAAGCTGAAATACAAAATTTAAATCACAATCTAATAAAATGTGAACAAGAAGTGGAAACCCTCAAACAGAGCAAAACATTTGAAAACTTCCAAGGCCCAATCAAAATTATATGCAATGGAAATGAAGAGAAAGACCGACAAATACCAAAATTCAACGGCCGAAGTGGCAACCCAAAAGAATATCTTAATAAATTGAAAAGATATTACGACAGAGGACTTGAGCGAAACAGCAATTATGACCCGATTGAATATCTCAAAGACCTGCTAGAAACTTCATTCGAAGGTCCCGCCTCAAGATGGCTACAACTCGTCAAGACTGACTTAAGTTCCTGGGAACAATTTTCCAACGAATTCGAAGCTAAATACTGGTCAAGAGAAGTACAACGCAGCTTAAGAGCCAAAATCGAATCAGAAAAATACCGGTCAAATGGTACCCTCAGCCGCAGTGAATACCTTACAGAACGTGTAATTTCACTCCAATCTATCAGCCCTTGCCTAACCGAAGAAGAAATTGTGACACTGATGGCAGAGAGATTTGACTCCATCATACAAGACTGCATCAATGTACAAAACATCACCACCGTACGTGCATTAGAAAGACTTCTACAACGTAAAGACCTCAAAGACGGACCAAAGAAGACACGCACCAACAACCAGAATCACAACAGCTCATCCAATAACCGACCGACAACTCCAAATCAACAACCACACATCTATCATCAAAACGGCCGCTACGAGAATCAGAGAGCGTACCAACCCAAGATAACTTCATATCACAACAATTCATACAACAACAATCACCAACACAGAAATTATCCAAATCATCAAAATTACCGTCCTAACTACAATCATCCTACTTACGACCGAAACCATGAAAACAAACCATATCAACGAGACAGATATCCTCCACGTAACGGTGACAACAACCAACGGACCTACAGAAACCACCCAACCCAAGAACAAGCTCATCTCTGCGCAGTAATAAGACAAAATAACTACGTGCCAAGTGCTCCTCCAAACGACCAATCATCACACAGTTACGAGCCACAAACTCATCCTGCACCAAATATACAGGAAAACGGTTCGGCGCTGTAAGCGACAACCGAGAGGGTCAATTATCATTAGTTAACTCTAAAATTACAGCGCCTATTTATGAAATTCTCGGTAATGAAATAAATCATCTTCAATCCCAAAGTATAATGTGCGATAAGAACTTCTTATTAGAAAATGATTCAGAAAATAATCAATCTCCAAATTTCACTCAAATAAGTTGCCCAGAAATTAGCATCAAACTTAATAATATTAGAGTAAACGCATTAGTCGACACTGGTTCATCAATAACTTGTATATCAGAATCCTGGTTCAGTGAAAACAAATCCAAAATTTCACCATTTGAAGAATTTCCAGTTAATAACACAGTAATCAAAACTGCTACAAATGAGCGATCTAAAAGAGTCTCTCGAATTATTTACGTTCCCACTACAATTGCAGAACACACCTTGCCATTGGAATATCTTATTGTACCAAATCTAATAAAACCTATAATACTAGGAGTAGATGTTTTGTCTAATCTTAAAATGGATCTGAATTTCAACACAAATGAAATAGATATGCAGATAAATAATCACAATGTTACTTTGAAGTTTTGTATGTGCAACCAAGAGGGACAAATATGTCACTTAATAATTAATGATAGCCATAGGCCAAATAATGAATATTTTAATGATGAAACGTTTGATGTATATCACGATGATCCAATATATAATAAATTAAACAGCACAATAAATAACTTCAAAAATAGAAAAACAGATCCAATCGAAGATGAAACATTAACCCAAGAAGAAATAGATAATTCCCTAACAACAAATACGTACATAACCGCAGAAGAACGTGAAAAATTAAGCATTTTATTAAATAAATATCAGCGAAAGAAGATGAAGATGTTTTATACGGCCCCTACCATATATCAGCCCTCAAGAAATATTTGGAACCAACCCGAGCAATAGAAGCTGTGATCGACGAGATAGATAATGATGACCCTACCCTCGAAGACATTCTATATCAATAAATTTCATAATGTGTTTCATCCATCAACAGACTTTTGTGCATCATCATCTCTAACCAAATTGTGCCATGGACCTTAATCGCGAGTGCGTGACCCCATAAATTGTGTTTTCCATAAACTGATACCCAGGTGATAAAGTTTATAAACAATACTCACTTACTAATAAACTGTGATCTCCTTAATAACAAAGAAACAATAAAGTTATTTGGTATTGAACAGTATGGAACAACAGCCATAATATCCCTTTCTTCCCATGCCAGGCCATGAACACTCTATTCTATTTTCCCCCTTTTAATGTTATTGTCCTACACATTTGTTAATTTATATTATAATTTTATTGTATTATCACCCAATGTTCTATCATCCAGAAAATCAATCATTTAATGTTATTCATACCTATCTGTAAGTATCATTCATATTAATGATTCATGATTCCATTTCATATTTTGTCGAAATCTGTATTTCATTTCATAGCATACAGATTTCTGTGGGGATAATTTGTAATATTACATGTCATTCATTCATCATTAACATTAATTTCTCTATTATTTTGTATATTTTCTCTCATCATGTCTGTTAATGCCCCTGATAATGTGTTATCAGTTATTTAATTTGTTCCTCTTGTTAATGTGTTAAGTATTTTATCAAATTTTGTTCAATGTTATATAATATCCCATCACCCCACAGAAACATCATCCTATTTCATGTTACAATAAAATATTTATGCAAATTCTCTCCATACCTATTAAGTACTCATCAAAAACCAACAATAATCATTTATTTAGAATAATATATAATTGTAAGAAAATTGCAATATAGTAATAACATCTTAAATATAGTATTATTTTTCAAAATTATCCAAAGAAAATCAAAATTACTGTGGCAAGTGTCATTCATGTAAATTTAACCAGCTGTGCATCATTGCAACAATGAACATGGACTTCCTGAGCTTCTACCATTGCCTCTCCCCAGATCCTGCCAACTCTTCACAGTGTGAACATCATTCTATTGGAAATTGTGTTTGATTTAAACTAAAATTTATAATCCCAAAGTAAAACCTATATTTTAAATTTCTCATCATCCAAAAGTATTGGACAAGTGCATTGAAGAGTACCAATTTAGGCTATAAGAAGACAGACACTCCAAATTTGGTAACCATCATCCATCTTATTTAACTAAGGACAAATTTAATCTTCATTGGACATTTAATCAGTACAGCCTACTAGGCCCAAAAACTCAACTCATCAAGATATACATATTTCAAATTGAACTTTTATTCAAAATTTAATCTTCAAATTCTATTTTATTTCATTAAATTCAGTGAAACCATTTGGAATCTTTCTTTGGACATTAACATTATTAGCCTATATTAATAGCATCATGAACCTAGTTTAACTTATTTCAGAACAATAACTAAATTAAATTATTTGCATTTTAAAGAAGCCTAATATATCATTCGAACCGGCACGACCACCCCTCCCTGGATTAAGAGCTCATAGCCTATTTAAATATTAATTAGTGTACTTTAGAAGAAACCAGCCCAATATAAGCCTAGAATCTTTTGATCCACTTTGGAACCCCCACCATTTTGAAAATTTACCATTGTTAACTTACCCTGTAACTAAATTCAACCAATAACTTATCTTATATTTGTATTTCATTAATAAATTTTATATTGTAACTTACCAAATCTATTTATTCTTAAAATAATTCATAATTATAAGATTAAGACAAAGACTTACCTTATTAGACAGAAACAAAACACAAATTAGGAATTATCTTTATTAAGAAATAAAAATGACTTTCAGTTCAATGTGGGCTAACTTAGTAGCCAAAGGAATTTTGTAGGCCTAAGTTAATGAATAGCCTATAGAAAGCTTTATGGTGCGTAGCATTTTTCAAAACTCAAAAAACAAAATGGCGCCTATTTAAAACTTGTGTAAAATCAACGGTTATTGAATTATTTAAGATAACAAAAATTTTAATAGCCGCCATGAATGTTTTATGAATTAAAAAAATTGTCATAACTTTGGCGAATTTCCCGATAGGGAAGTAGCTATTACTGTAGGTGGGGTAAGACCTAAGCCCAGGACCTTCATTTTTAAATTTTTTTTTGTAGCTCTTCCTAGTTGTCATAAATGTTTGTGCAAAGTTTCAATAAATCTTTAACAACTACTATTTAGAACAAATTAATAAGTGAAAAAAACAAAAACAAAATGGCGGCTGAGTGAGTAACTAAGGACTTCCGGACAATTTAAATATGATATTTAGATATTTCTTATTTAGAAACAATGCCCTAAAATATTGGTTGAGAGTTCTGGGTCACCCTGTACATTAATTATTGTTACAGTGATAGGTCTATGGTTGTGCACACAGAGAATTAAGGTACAGAGGAAACTTCCTTATGGGATGACCGTGTGCTTTGAGCTCTAGTGTATGTTGTGCCGGAAATATACTCGTCACAAGCAAGGAAGAGCCTGAGCAGCGAGCGCTGTGCAGAAATTCTTATTGCACAGGAACAGGACTCAGAGTCTTACTCTACCTTGAGCGTTGTAGTAAATGAGGGCAAGGGGGGTGTTGTTGGGCTTTGTCCTAGACACCAGCGACTATTGCTAGACACCACTTGAATGTTTCCTCTGTACGTCACTTCTCTTGTGTTGTGCAGTAATGACTGATGAACTATACCTTTTCTGAGTTTGCTGCTTTAGCTGACATTTTCCCAAGTTTTAGGTCACGTTCTATCACATGCAGACGCTCACGCAGCTGTAATGGCTCTCTACGGGCAAACATTCGTATAACAGCCGGCGTTTGGAATGCTTTACTTATGGCAGCTTGAGTAGCCTACAATGAAGAAGATTTAGTTAAACAGGATAATAACATAGAACTTTCACACTTGTTTCTCATTGCTCATAAATCGTCTGACCTAAAGGTGTTAAGTTAACAAATTTCTAAATTTTTTTATCGGATTAGGTACTAAATTATAAATGTTATATATAAATATATGTTATAAATAAATCCTACTCTACTGTCTAAACATAGTGATTAGATAGTACAATTTACAATGTTCGCTTTACTATGTAGTTATGATGCTAAAAGGTTAAGCATTAGTTTACAGATGCCATACCTATCTAATGTTGAAATATTATGTTGATATATAGATTTCAAGTCAAACAACAATAGATAGGAACTTCAATATTATCATTGGACAATAAACACTCGGTTAAAAGTTACCGGATAATCGGATATAAAATACTTTACAATTATATTCATCCGATCCAGGAGGAGGATAAATCTACAAGTATACATGTATTGTATGGTTGGCAAATCATTCTGAAAAATAATGTGGGAATTATGGGGATCAAAGTGGTAATAAATAAAATTCATTTCCTTTTTGCTCCTGAGCTGTTGTATTCAATATAATAAATAGGTTACATACCTATTTATCATATCAAAGTGGTAATTTTTCTAAAAGTTGGTACAAAAATAGGGGCTGAACAACAGGCCCGAAAAATTGTGACTATCTAAACACATAAAAGTGAAAGCCCTCACTGAGTGACTAATTCATCACTAATTCTCCATCTTCCAGGCTAGCTTAAGGTTTAAATTGGGTAGGATTCATTACTTAGGCCAAAAATAGGAAATTTAAATATTTTCTACAGTTCCAATGGTATTCATAGCGACATTCAATTATTTTCTACTAGCAGAGCACCCATCCTTCGTACGGGGTTGGCATATAAGTATAAAATGCTTATTGCAGTCAAGATTTGCGTTTGCAATGGGGGAGGACAAAGTTTGATAAAATTTTGTTCTTTAAATTTATGGTATGATATAGTGTAACATTATCTACCATAGCCATAATGTTCTACCACTGCACCTAAGCAATAGAAAATATAAATGATCAAACAGTCACACAATGTCACAAATTATTCATTAAATTAAAAACATAAACATAACTGTAAACAATCCTACTTTGACAGTTCTCATTGTGTATCACAGCTTTTTGTTGCTGCTTAGTTCAAATTAGCTGTTGTCATATATGCAAAAACAAAATACTAATAGTGCACCCTGTTGGGAAACCTTATAACTTTTTAATGCTATTGCATATTATAGAACCAACTTGTAAAGTTAAAACAGCTGACTAAATTCTTTAATTCCTTTTAAATATGAATACTCATAAGGTTATCATGGGGTAGCAGAGCTACTACTGGGGCGGAGTCTGAGTCTGAGTTGGTGTTTGAAAGATGAGTTTAATCTCTGTAAGAATTTAATCTTAAGAAGTACAGCTATTGTCATTCCAAAATGTATGAGACAATACATGTTAGCTAGGCTACAACCCTATGTGACACACTGATGTGTAATCATAATCAAAACTATTTTGAGGGCTAAAGGAATGATTTTTTGGTCAGGTATGTACACTCAAATTGAGAACATGGTTCTTTCCTGTGAAACTTGTATTTTGCATTCTAACAACAATCGTAAGGAACATTTGAAACCACACTCAGTCCCTTTCCTCCCTTGGGAAAAAATTTGTATTGATTTTTTAGACATTGGGTCAGACCTACATGATTGTCATAGATTATTATTCTAAGTACACTGAAGTGTTCTCCCTATTAAACATGAAATCACTCACAGTGATTATCAAGATAAAATCAACCTTTAGAAGACATGGGATTCCAAAAATTGTCTTTTCAGATGGCAGCACGTCATTCACAGTTTCTAAAACTTTTACTCACACAACTTCTTCTCCATTGCATTCACAAGCAAATGGAATGGTAGAGCGAGCAGTACAGACTTAAAAGAAAATGTTAATTAAAGCTGTTCATGACAAAAAAGATTTGTTTTTAACTATGCTAGAGTACAGGAATACTCCGATTTCAGATAAGATTCCTTCACCTGGTGAACTTTTGTATAACTGTAAACTAAGAGGTATTTTACCCTGTACTCAAGATCTTTTAAGGCCTAAAGTGTGCAAGGATGTTAGGAATCAACTTCTAGATAGACAATGTATCCAGAAGCGTTATTTTGACAAAAAGGCTAGGCCTTTAAGTAGGTTAGTATTAGGTGGAGCTATCATAATGAAATTGAAGGATGATAAGTGGATTAAGTGTACAGTTGTGGGCTATAAACCTGGAATTAATCGATCGTATGTTCTCAAATGTTCTGACAGATTGTATGTAAGAAATAGAATTCACATTAAGCCACTGTTTCTACAGGCTTCTTACAATCAAAATGTTAGGTTAACCTCTTCACATGTTAGACCTGCTGTAGTGTTAAAAGATTCTAAAAATCTAGGTAGTTCAAACTCTAAGCCTATTCCAACCAAACATTTGAGTCATTCTTAGAGTTGCCATATGGTAATGTGTAAAAAAGAGGAGATTTTGGCTGGCGGCCCTCACTATAACAGTGGATAAAAATTAACTGGCTAGCAAAATTGTATACCTAGTACATACAAATTATTATAACAGAAACTGTATGGATCATAAACATAAACATGAACAAAATTATGTCATTTTGGCCCGAAAGTTAACACGTTTTAGCGAATTCCCCATATAGGGAATAAGCTATTACCGTAGTACTCATGGTAAGGTTCGTTGCACACACACCGATTTGCGACGACCAATTTTTTACCGGCCGTCCAAATTCCAATAGTTAACCACAGGCGAAAACAGGACTTTGCACACACGCCAACCGCTGATCAGCAGCAGTAAAATGCCGATGAGCAGCCGGCCACTGCCACTGCATACCACCGGTGCCGGGGATGTGCCGGCGACGCAGTAGCGTACGTAACTAAATACAAGCTTGTACACACACCGATTGTTTACCGATCGTATCAGCAGTTCTCGCTACACCATCCTCCATTTCAGGCGACTGTTCTTCTGACATTGTTAATTAGTTTTGGTATGCGTGTTTATAACGTTTTAAATGGGTGACTTTATAGATAAGGATGCTATTGACATTCTATAAATTTTTCTCTGCTATCAAGCCTTAGTTTTTCAAAAAGTGTGTGGAATGTTCATGTTTTTTCTCTGCTTTGATTAATTGGAGGAATCCAGAACATACGTTTAATCTTACGGTGATTAATACGTCGATACAATAACCACATAGCAACAACACTTTTAGGATTAAGTATTCAATAATCTCGTCTCGTCCTCGACACAACAACAAAGACTGATCGTTTCGCCAATAAAAATCCGGTATGTGTGCGAGCACCATGAACCGATCAAATATCGACCGACTTATTACCGACCGTCCAATATCGGTGTGTGTCCAAATAGCCTAAGACCTGGACCCGGGACCGATTTGATTTTTTGTTTGAGGTCCCTAGAGGCCAAAAATACCATCCGTTCAAATTCATACTGTATATATATATATATAGGCCTATATAAAATTATCCGATTTTGATGCAATTTGGTAAAAACGTGTAAACCTACGTTTATTCAAACGAGTTCGCGAATCAGCATAATCGGACCATGGGAACAGGGGTTTTATGGGCCCTAAAATCAAAAAATTTTGCAATTTCTTTTTAACCTGATTTGTAGATTTTAAAAAAGGAAATAATTTAGTATATATTGTATGCCTAACGGTCACGGAGAAAATTCAAAAAAAGTGTAATTTAAAATTCCCATGTTGTTCTTATGGAGAAAGTGAAAACTGTTGTAGTTTACTTGTTTATGGATATATATTGATAAAATTTGGCAAATTTATTTATTTCATCCCATACTATTGACGTATGGTCAAAAAACACCTTTTACCTTCCCCTTAGCAGCAAACCTAAGCACTCGTTAAATGTAATTGAATGTTATTTAAATTGGGAATAAATATGTCTTAGTTATGGAAATATTTTAGTAAAGATGTAATCAGACAATTGAAATTCGCTTAGCTGCGGCGGGGGTATTTATTATTATTTAAATGGAACTGTTAAAAACATCCAAACCAGTTGTTACCGCTATTAGCCTATAGATATTCGGTTCAGTGACGTAATTTGTTTATATTTATTAGTCCATACCGTTTTTGTTCAATATTATATTCTGTGCTACATTGTCAATATTCAAATGGTACGCGAAAATATAAAATGTTGCATCACTTGTCACATTTCACCAAAAATAACGAATAACCGAATAAAGTCAAGAAAACACTCTGTCACTCTGTATGCTAGGCTTTGGAAGTGAACAAGGATACCTTCGGACTTCGGACTGGCCAGCAGAGGCAAATTGAAGGACTGGGAGCAATGAAACAAACGAAAGATAAACAAGGACGTAGCTGGCCAAAGTGAAACCAAGGAATAAAAAAACGTTAGTAGAGAGTACAAGAGTTGCATTTTTCAGTTTTTGCATAACGATATTTGTGGACGCAAACATTTATTTTATTTTAAAAGTGCCATTGTATAATGCATTTTAGTAGAAAGTAAAAAAGAAGAGATTTTTCACTTTATGCAGAAATCCCCCGGAGCTAAATTTTGAATGTCAAAATCCGATAATCTCTGGGGAAATCCGGGGATATGGCAACCCTACAGCAGAAACATTTCAAACATTTCAAAAATTCATAGATGAAGTTATTCAGGTTCTTGATTTTTATTATGCATATATTGACAACATTTTAGTGTTTTCCCAGTCTGAAGAAATGCATAAATAACATCTAAGAATGTTGTTTGAAAGACTTTCTGACTATGGAGTAGTGGTAAATCCGTCTAAATGTCTAATTGGCGTGTTCTGTCCTCCAATTTTGTTGTAGGAAAGTTAAAGAACATTTTTGCAAGACATGGAATTCCATATAAGATTCGGACTGATGGTGGAACTCAATTCACATCACAAGCGTTCAAGGATTTTGCAAAAGAGTATGGGTTTGAAGCAACGACCACCAGTCCATACTTTCCTCAGGCAAACGGTGGTGCTGAGAATGCAGTGTCAATAGCCAAAAGAATATTGTTGAAAATAAAGATCCAAATCTTGGATTTTTAATTTACCGCACAACAAAGTTAGAATCGGGACTGTCTCCAGCAGTGTTGGTTTTTGGGAGAAAATTGAGGTCAAATTAACTAGGTCGTTTGTTGTTGTTGTTCCATCATTGAAAGATTTTGAAAAGGCAATTTTTAATAAAAATTTCACTGGTTTCCAACAAAACGACAAACACATAAAAGAGAGAATGAAGAGGAATTTTGACAGCAGGAGACGAGCTATACCTTCCGCAAAGATTCGTGGCGGCTGAGGGATTAGGACGTTCAGGTGGTGTCCGAGTCCCTAAATTAGCCCTCGCTCGGCTGCTCTGGGTTTTGACCATGAGTCACCCACTAGGCTCAATGCATAGGTGGTAGAATCTTTGTATATCACCATAAAATGTATTAAATATTGCATTTTTTGTAACCTGCGTCAAATAACAAGAACATTGAGCCCAAACACGAAATAATTAAGACGATATTAAGTATACATTTGGTTTTAAAATAATAGAAAGTTTTCATGTCGTGGTATGCTTAATACGATCGCAGTTATTTCGTGTTTGGGCTCAATGTGCTTGTTATTTGACGCAGGTTACAAAAATGGCGTTATTTAATATACATTATGGTGATATACAAAAATTTTACCAACTATGCATTGAGCCCAGTGGCTGACTCATGGTCAAAACCCAGAGCAGCCGAGTGAGGGCTAATTTAGGGGCTGGGACACCACCCGACCGTCCTAATCCCTCAGCCGCCATGAATCTTTGCGGAAGGTTTAGTGAACTAAAACCTCTGGAAGAAGGGGATAAGGTCTGGATAAGAGACCTGAAATGTAACAGAGAGATCTTATCAAAATCAGACATTTATCCCTGATCATATAGGGTAACACAGTAACACTAAATAATGGAAGACGGCTTAGAATAAATCAATGGCATCTAACACATTTGCCATTAACAGGAAGGTTTAGTGAACTAAAACCTCTGGAAGAAGGGGATAAGGTCTGGATAAGAGACCTGAAATGTAACAGAGAGATCTTATCAAAATCAGACATTTATCCCTGATCATATAGGGTAACACAGTAACACTAAATAATGGAAGACGGCTTAGAATAAATCAATGGCATCCAACACATTTGCCATTAGAAGAAAGAGTAAATATTGAACAGCCTAATACAATCCCTCATTCCTTCCTGATCAACTAAACCACGACCCTTCTCGAAGAAGTCAGAGAATCCTAAGAAAACCAAAAACATGATTAATGTTTAATTAATAACACCACAGACAGGTTAACCGAAAAGTTTGTTATCCGAAACGGCTCTCCTTCCCTTTATTTCGGTTAACTGGGGTTCTACTGTACTAACTTAAATAATAATCATTGTGTAAATGAATGATCAAACAGTAAAGTTATTATTTAGCCTACTTAATTACAGCTAATTTTAGTACCGTAGTTTTTAAATGGGAAGTGGATTATTATTGTTAACTAGCTGGCCCGACAGACGTCGTCCTGTCCTAATGTGGCTTTATGTCAAATGCTCGTTCATTTTCAAGATGAGCTCGTTCGCATCGCTCAATCACGTCCTGGTTAGCAACAGTATTAACAGTTGAAGTTTGTTCGCTACGCTCACTCACCTTCTCGAGTTATGGAATACCATGATGAAAAGGGGTTCATTGTTATTTATATAGATTAGTAGGCTAGATTTATTTATTCATTGTTTTATATGCCTATACCTAGAGGTTTTATAAATAGTTTCTATACCTTGCATCTAGAAGTTTACTTAACTGAGGGGTAAACTTGTGTATTCTTACTTTCAAAAATGTTCAAATGGACTGTATGGCAAAAGAGCAATAATATTATAAACTTGTCTCTAATTATTAACAGATAAAAATGAGATTAATATTGTACCTTCCTCTTAACTGAAGCGTTGAGTACGCAAAACCGGTAGACTACAAGTTTTCTTTTGCAGGCCTGCTATCGTGTATTTCTCGTACACGGACCGACAGTTGTTTCACTGAAGTTACAAATGTTCAATTGTTCACTTTTTATTATGTGTCCCTAATAATGCTTTAAAATATACTTTAGGGTTGAGAGTTGAGAGCAGCAATTGAAAATTAATTGTGCCGGGGACATATTGATAGTTGCATGAGTGCAAGAGAACTGGAGGGAGATATTGGGGCTTCCAGACATCATGTGACAGGTCAAAGATTATTGTTTGAAACGTCTGGAAATATCTAGATAGCGCTTGTATACATAACACAAAACGATTAAGTTAACAAAGAATTTGATGACTTAATCTTACCAGCTGCATTGAGCTTAAATGGTCAACCAATGTCATATCTCCCGCTAAATGTTTCTTCAAAGTTACATTTAGCTCTTCTAGTTGTTCTAGTGTATCAGCTTTAGATTCTTCATATTCAGCATTGTCAAGGTCACCTCTGTGACAAATAAAATAAAGCATGTTTGAGATTTCCAAAGCTAAGTTATATGGCAACTAAAATCTATCTATGCACAGGCAATAGATAGACGGATAACAGTGTTTTATTTTACAACATATTTTACAAACTTACAAATTGTATTTTTACACCCAAAAGACAATTTGGTCATTTGACCGTCTGTCTGGTTGGCAAAGTTCACTTCCACTACATAATCACAAACAACACTGCACTTGTATCAAAGGTAAGAGAACATAAAAGTTCAAACTCACTTAAAAGCTAAAATAAATTTCAAACAGATTTACTTTTATTACTACTTTCTTCTTTTACTACTTCAAAGAATTGTTTAAGCTATTGCCTAGACGCTAAGCTATACTGTACATACATACTCACATACAAACATGTAGCCTATAAATATACAGCCTATTCAAACATACAGTTATAAAATTAAACCCAAGAATTTCTTTATACAGTTAACAGTAAATAGTTATTCTTGGAAATAAAAATTCCATGATCCTAAGTTACTGTTTTAAACTACATAAGTACCAACTTATTCATTTATAAGTCGTTAACTTTGCAAAAGATTTTTTTTTACCTCCTTGTAGGCAATGTAACAATGCTAAAAAAAAAATAAAAAATGAGTTACTGTCATAATACTGTTCTACACAGACATTACTTAATCTGGTAAACTATTTGGCTTGAATAACTTTGAAAAAATGTGTTTATTTAAGCTGTGTTTCCACCACAGTTTGGAACTTTTTGTTTCTAACACTTGTTTCTTGTTTCTAATTCCTTTATAACAAAAGTTTACATCAGGTAAGTTAGTAACTTTTCTTTGATTTTGTTCGAAACAATTTACCGTTTATTTGAGATGACTACAGAAGACGTTATACTGGCCACTGTGGCATGTGTAATCTTATCTAAATAACTGAGACCGAGACTGTACTGGATGAGACTGTCATTGCAATCCAGATCAAAATATAAAATACAGTGTCTGTTCAGTATGGTTTTGTAAATACCGTATGGTAATTAGTAATTTAATCATTAATAATCATTTATTTTATTAACATTTAATTAACGGTGTGCATAGGTTTTTAACAATTATTTGTATGTTAATTATTTATTTTAAGTCTGTAAAATGTATTCCACTCTTCTCATACACACACACACACGACGGCAATTCCCCTCCCTCATATTCTCCTAAAAATCATACGATGCCTACGTCATATGGCGTGATATATCTCTGTCTCTTTCCCTCTCATGGATAACTCAAATTTCCCCACCTCGATTTTAGTCAGTTAGCGTCTAAAACCTTCCTCAATCGGACGTATGTGCCGTGCCGCGCCGTTTTTCTGGCAATCTCGGTCTTTTGACCACCTCGTGGTGGAAGTTCCCCACATTAAAACCTCTTGGTCTTGTATCTGTAATTAACAGTAATAAATTCTCCCTTTCGAAGTGTGTGCAGTGTATCTGAACTGAACTTCAAGAATTTCTTGTATGGCCCTCAGCGTGGTGAGCTCACTCGAACTCCATTCCCCCTGCTACCTTACGCTAGGCTACTGCTGACGCCTATTTTAGAGGTAGATTTAGTAAAATTGGTCAATAATATGAAAGTTGGCTCTGCCCCAGGTGTAGATGGAATTCCAACTAAATTAATCAAGCAAAACATAAATAAATCGCCACTTCTTCATATTATAAATATGAGTTTGACATCTGGGGTTTTCCCAGATTTTTTCAAATTAGGGAAAGTAATTCCAATCTACAAGAGTGGACAGAAAAACCAGTGTGTGAGTTTCAGACCAATTACATTAACGAGTGTGTTGTCTAAATTATTAGAAAAGTGCGTTAGGGAGCAGCTAAAAATTATTTGATGGCTTACGACATTTTATTTGAAAACCAATTTGGCTTTAGGAGGGATAAAAATTTAAATGATGACCTTTTTCTACTCACTAAAAATATTCATAACGCAGTTGGGAGAAATAAGAAACCTCTTTTAGTCTTTATAGATTTGGCCAAAGCTTTCGATACAGTTGACAGGGAAATTTTATTGAACAAATTAAGCTTAATAGGCGTCCGTGGGGCTGCACTGGAGTGGTTTAGAAGTTATTTTAGTAATCGTTTTCAAGTTGTGTCAATTTTGGGCCACTCCAGTGTACCTCAATTGATCGAATTTGGGGTCTTCCAAGGAAGTTAGCTTGGACCTCTGTTGTTCCTCATTTATATAAATAATCTAGGTAGGGTCTTATTGGACGGTGGAAAACTTTTCCTTTACGCCGACGATTCCGTTTTACTTTTTTGAAGGCGACAGCTGGGAGCAAGTGTACCGTGTGGCTGAGCGGGGCCTTGGCGCTGTCAAGCAGTGGTTCGACCAGAGTCGGCTCTCAGTCAACATATCCAAAACCAAATATATGCCTGTGTCTGTGAGAGCCGACCACGACCCGGTCGGCCTGCATCTGCGTTTGCACACGTGCGGAAGTGCGAGGCTGTATGAATGCGTGACGTGTGAGTGCATTGAGAGAGTATCTGAATACAAATATCTGGGTATCATCTTTGACAACCGCCTAAAATGGAATTGCCATATTAATTATGTAAGAAATAAGCATCTTTAATATAATAATAAGTATCTTTTATCTTTTCACGCATCAACAGGATACTTCCCCCCGACTTGATTAGAACTGTGTATTATGCCTATGTACAATCTCTATTGCAATATGGAATCTTAGCTTGGGGTGGTTGTTATCAAAATGTTTTAACGCCACTTGAAATAATTCAAAAATCTATTATCAAGATAGCACTAAAAAAAAATCGCCGTTATCCCTCAAATGTTTTGTTCAATGAATTCAAAGTTATTCAAAATATACCCCAACTCTTTATAAAAAATATTATTCTTTATATTCATAAAAATGAAAATTTCTTGTTCCGACATATTACACATCAATACCATACTCGATCAACAACTAACCATGGAATTATTACCCCTAGATTAACAAAATCAATAAACAGCACTTAGTCTTTTTATCTTGCAAACATAATTTATTCCCAACTTCCACTAATTGTAAAATCCCCCCTCCTTGCAGTCTACGTACATACAAAAAAATTATTGACAAATGGCTACTAGAAGTTGGCCGTCATAGAATAAGAAACAATTTCACCTCCATGTACATATAGATACTACTATCATTTCATGAACAACTGCAGTAATCTATGCCGTTGCGTGCGTGTGTGGGTGTGTTGGGGTGGGTGTGCCATGGGTATCCCGCTAGGCTGGACCACAGGGACAGTGCAGTGACGGCTTTTTTAATAAGAGCTACCAGCCGCCTGTGGGTCCCGGGGCGGGTAGATTCAAGATTCAAGATTCAAAGAGTCTTTATTCACACAGTACAAATTTTCGTACATGAATAGTGTCTATTGTCTATTGTTACTTACTACCTAAATTAGCAATAAGAAACATTTAAACAAAATACTATAGGCTACATTATTTTAAATTGAAATTACTATAATCTTCTATTTTGTAAGGTGCAAGGTCAAGTAAGAATGCCTTCAGATTTTTCATAAATTTAGATTTGTCTTTTTCTTTTTTTAAAAAGCTAGGAAGTTTTCTAAAAAAATAGTTTCCAATATAAGAAGGTTTATTTTTAAAAAGTTCAAGTCTTGGTTTTTCTTTAGCTAAATAATGTTTACCCCTTGTATTATAATTATGCACAGGCAATTCTTGAGTCTCAGCAATATTTAAAAAATATTTAATTGTTTCAAAAATAGCCTATATTTAAGGCGTGAACTGTAAAAATGGTACTATGGAAGGTAGGGGCTGTGAATGTATGTTTGTGGTGATTGTAGGTTTCTTTGTGAGTTTGTGAGGTATGAGTGGTCTGTGTGAATGTGTTAGGGCATTGTGTGTGGAATGCATGTGCCAAGTCTCGGACAATTCTATTTATGTGTATTTCTAATGGGATAATTTCCTACATTTTTAACGTGCAAACTGAACGCGTGATATAGGCCTATGCGTGCATTAATTTTTCATACACTGTATCGTTTTGTATATATTTATCTTGTAAAGTAGTTTTTTCTTATTTATCCTTTTCTTGGATACAAATTCTGTGTACAATATATATATATATTTTCCTTTTTCAATGTAGCCTATATTATTGTTTTTTGTGCGGGTGATTGACTCAATCCCCAACCACAGGCATATAGCCCATTTGGGGATTCATATTTCATAAATCGTGTTTTTGTACCATTCAATCTGATGTTCTGTATTGAAATAATAAAGAATTCATTCATTCATTCATTAACTCTAGTTAACACTTAGAGTGCGGCCGTTCCCAATCGGGTGCGGTGCTTGGCCCCCGTACAGTGCGTCCGTACCCCATCGCAAACGCTCGGCAATGCCTTTTGTATATCTTCGTTTTAGCTCTTGCGTTGGCCGAAAGCTGACCTGTACCACGTTAGCGTGTAGTATGTGACTTGCATTTTTTTGTGGTGTAGGTTGGTAGTAAATTTCCCCGTAAAATCCCCGTCTGGCAATCTCAAAAATCTACTTTTTGTCACGTCTTTTTCCCTCCATTTGGCAATACAATTCCAAAGGGACCGGCTGCATTCCAAGCAGTGCTGCTATCTGTGGGTGTTTAGCGAACTACATCGACTCTCGTTGTAAAGCAGGACATCCCCGCACGTTATTTGCTATTCGTCAGACCAAAATTGGAAAGCCAATCATACGCAGCAATTGGGTTTGTTCGATGCTGAGGGCTGCGCCAGCCATTTGACGTGCCGCAGCAAACGTGTTAATGTTTTGAATAGCCTAACCAAACAGAAATTTGTGATCTCTGCAAAAGCAAGATTTTTTAAGCAAGGCCCTACCTACACATAACTAGTCATAATCATCACTGTTTGAGGTTAGAGTAGGCCTAATATGTTTATCCCTTCTAAAATGTTATCCCAAAGCCGAATATAGGTAAAGTAAAACGCCATTTGACGTTTTCACACTAAATTAAATGCAACCATTTTAAATTATAACACCCTTTTTTATAGGCTAAGTTACTCACTTTACTTCTTCTAAGTCAGCAAGTTGTTGAACTAATCTTTCTAACTGTTCTTCTAAATTCTTCTTCAACTTATCTGTTTCTATTTGTCCGGATGCCATTTTACTTTTAAAAGGTTGAAGCTATTATTACCTATACCGACACGTAAAAAATCGCCTAAACCATTTTGTAGGCCTAGCCAATAAAACCATAGATTTATTTTAAAATTTTAACTTTTATGTTTTATTATTATTTTGATTATGTTGTTACTATGTATGTAGTTTGTAGAAGAGTCGCTAGTAGGTTAGGTTAGGTTAGGTTAGTTTCGGATTTCTTCCTCTTCTGCTCTTCGAAATGTAGTTTTTAAAAGACGACCGTCGACCGTCACTCCGCAGTGAAAATCCTATATTTTTTTATCTGCAACTGCAACTAACTAAAGGTCGATTCACACACATCAGTCCAGTCACAGTTCCGTTACAGTGCAGTTGCAGTCCAGTCCAGTTACAGTCCAGTCGCAGTTGCATCCGCAATTTCCCAGTCAATTGTCCGTCAGTTCCAGTTGGTTTCAGTCAGTCTTCCGTCTCTAATATTTACAGTAATTTACAGTCAAAAAATTTAAATTTTAAACCTATATTCTATTAAATTATCATTGTCCATCTTGTTGATTGTTACAAACAGTACTCAAAATACAAACGCAACAGTTTTAACAACAATAACACTATTTTCTAACCTCAAACAGTTCCGTCAGGCGTCCGAAGAATCAAAAAGTATCGTTGGAAAGAAATCTGAAATTGACTGACGGATGCCAGCAGAGTGACTGACGGGACTGCAACGGATGAGTGTAGATAGACGATCGTGAAGACAGCTATCGCCAGCTAACGGCGGGCGGAGAATTCCACACCCCCACTACCCTACCTGTGTACAATCTAATACAACAGTAATAGACCTCAACTGTGTTAAAAATGTTAAAACCTTAATTTAAACGATATAACACATGTTGTAACGTTTTCCGGCACATTTTCACAAATGAAATGGGAGGAAATACTTAAATTCATAACATATAAAATAATATATACATAAAACCTTAAGTAAATTTGAGTCTGAAATCCAGCGCTCGGCGTACTAAGAATGTTCGGACAAACATTTACCTATGTTGTGACGGTATTCCCCAAAATTTTATCATTTTAATTTAACGTATACACTTGAATGTACAACATATTAAAAAATCATTAAAATCTAGACATATATATTTAGGTTAATTTTAGCCTAAAGTCTAGCTAACGAACTTGTTCTCAGCGTACTAATAATGTTCGGACGAACATTTACCTATGTTGTGACGGTATTCCCCAAAATTTTATCATTTTAAATTAAAGTATACACTTAGATGTACAACATATTAAAAAATCATTAAAATCTAGACATATATATTTAGGTTAATTTTAGCTTAAAGTCCAGCTAACGAATTAGCGCTCAGCGTACTAAGAATGTTCGGACGAACATTTACCTATGTTTTGACGGTATTCCCCAAAATTTTATCATTTTAAATTAAAGTATACACTTGGATGTACAACATATTAAAAAATCATTCAATTCTAAACATATATATTTAGGTTAATTTTAGCCTAAAGTCTAGCTAACGAATTTGTTCTCAGCGTCCTAATAATGTTTGGACAAACATTTACCTATGTTGTGACGATATTCCCCAAAATTTTATCATTTTAAATTAAAGTATACACTTGGATGGACAACATATTAAAAAATCATTCAATTCTAAACATATATATTTAGGTTAATTTTAGCCTAAAGTCTAGCTAACGAACTTGTTCTCAGCGTACTAATAATGTTCGGACATACATTTACCTATGTTGTGACGATATTCCCCAAAATTTTATCATTTTAAATTAAAGTATACACTTGGATGGACAACATATTAAAAAATCATTCAATTCTAAACATATATATTTAGGTTAATTTTAGCCTAAAGTCTAGCTAACGAACTTGTTCTCAGCGTACTAATAATGTTCGGACGAACATTTACCTATGTTGTGACGGTATTCCCCAAAATTTTATCATTTTAAATTAAAGTATACACTTGGATGTACAACATATTAAAAAATCATTCAATTCTAAACATATATATTTAGGTTAATTTTAGCCTAAAGTCTAGCTAACGAATTTGTTCTCAGCGTCCTAATAATGTTCGGACAAACATTTACCTATGTTGTGACGATATTCCCCAAAATTTTATCATTTTAAATTAAAGTATACACTCAGATATACAACATATTAAAAAATCATTCAATTCTAAACATATATATTTAGGTTAATTTTAGCCTAAAGTCTAGCTAACGAATTTGTTCTCAGCGTCCTAATAATGTTCGGACAAACATTTACCTATGTTGTGACGGTATTCCCCAAAATTTTATCATTTTAAATTAAAGTATACACTTGGATGTACAACATATTAAAAAATCATTCAATTCTAAACATATATATTTAGGTTAATTTTAGCCTAAAGTCTAGCTAACGAATTTGTTCTCAGCGTCCTAATAATGTTCGGACAAACATTTACCTATGTTGTGACGATATTCCCCAAAATTTTATCATTTTAAATTAAAGTATACACTCAGATATACAACATATTAAAAAATCATTCAATTCTAAACATATATATTTAGGTTAATTTTAGCTTAAAGTCCAGCTAACGAATTAGCGCTCAGCGTACTAAGAATGTTCGGGCGATCATTTACCTATGTTAAGACGATATTCCCCAACATTTTATCATTTTAAATTAAAGAATACACTTGGATGTACAACATATTAAAAAATCATTCAATTCTAAACATATATATTTAGGTTAATTTTAGCCTAAAATCTAGCTAACGAATTTGTTCTCAGCGTCCTAATAATGTTCGGACAAACATTTACCTATGTTGTGACGATATTCCCCAAAATTTTATCATTTTAAATTAAAGTATACACTTGGATGGACAACATATTAAAAAATCATTCAATTCTAAACATATATATTTAGGTTAATTTTAGCCTAAAGTCTAGCTAACGAACTTGTTCTCAGCGTACTAATAATGTTCGGACGAACATTTACCTATGTTGTGACGGTATTCCCCAAAATTTTATCATTTTAAATTAAAGTATACACTTGGATGTACAACATATTAAAAAATCATTCAATTCTAAACATATATATTTAGGTTAATTTTAGCCTAAAGTCTAGCTAACGAATTTGTTCTCAGCGTCCTAATAATGTTCGGACAAACATTTACCTATGTTGTGACGATATTCCCCAAAATTTTATCATTTTAAATTAAAGTATACACTCAGATATACAACATATTAAAAAATCATTCAATTCTAAACATATATATTTAGGTTAATTTTAGCCTAAAGTCTAGCTAACGAATTTGTTCTCAGCGTCCTAATAATGTTCGGACAAACATTTACCTATGTTGTGACGGTATTCCCCAAAATTTTATCATTTTAAATTAAAGTATACACTTAAATGTAGCACATATTAAAAAATCATTAAAATCTAAACATATATATTTAGGTTAATTTTAGCTTAAAGTCCAGCTAACGAATTAGCGCTCAGCGTACTAAGAATGTTCGGACGAACATTTACCTATGTTAAGACGATATTCCCCAAAAATTTATCATTTTAAATTAAAGTATACACTTAAATGTAGCACATATTAAAAAATCATTCAATTCTAAACATATATATTTAGGTTAATTTTAGCTTAAAGTCCAGCTAACGAATTAGCGCTCAGCGTACTAAGAATGTTCGGGCGAACATTTACCTATGTTAAGACGATATTCCCCAACATTTTATCATTTTAAATTAAAGAATACACTTGGATGTACAACATATTAAAAAATCATTCAATTCTAAACATATATATTTAGGTTAATTTTAGCCTAAAATCTAGCTAACGAATTTGTTCTCAGCGTCCTAATAATGTTCGGACAAACATTTACCTATGTTGTGACGATATTCCCCAACATTTTATCATTTTAAATTAAAGTATACACTTGGATGTACAACATATTAAAAAATCATTTAATTCTAAACATATATATTTAGGTTAATTTTAGCCTAAAGTCTAGCTAACGAATTTGTTCTCAGCGTCCTAATAATGTTCGGACGAACATTTACCTATGTTGTGACGGTATTCCCCAAAATTTTATCATTTTAAATTAAAGTATACACTTGGATGTACAACATATTAAAAAATCATTCAATTCTAAACATATATATTTAGGTTAATTTTAGCCTAAAGTCTAGCTAACGAATTTGTTCTCAGCGTCCTAATAATGTTCGGACAAACATTTACCTATGTTGTGACGGTATTCCCCAAAATTTTATCATTTTAAATTAAAGTATACACTTAAATGTAGCACATATTAAAAAATCATTCAATTCTAAACATATATATTTAGGTTAATTTTAGCTTAAAATCCAGCTAACGAATTAGCGCTCAGCGTACTAAGAATGTTCGGACGAACATTTACCTATGTTGTGACGGTATTCCCCAAATTTTTATCATTTTAAATTAAAGTATACACTTGGATGTACAACATATTAAAAAATCATTCAATTCTAAACATAAATATTTAGGTTAATTTTAGCCTAAAGTCTAGCTAACGAATTTGTTCTCAGCGTACTAAGAATGTTCGGACGAACATTTACCTATGTTTTGATGATATTCCCCAAAATTTTATCATTTTAAATTAAAGTATACACTTGGATGTACAACATATTAAAAAATCATTCAATTCTAAACATATATATTTAGGTTAATTTTAGCCTAAAGTCTAGCTAACGAATTTGTTCTCAGCGTCCTAATAATGTTCGGACGAACATTTACCTATGTTGTGACGGTATTCCCCAAAATTTTATCATTTTAAATTAAAGTATACACTTGGATGTACAACATATTAAAAAATCATTAAAATCTAGACATATATATTTAGGTTAATTTTAGCCTAAAGTCTAGGTAACGAATTTGTTCTCAGCGTACTAATAATGTTCGGACGAACATTTACCTATGTTGTGACGGTATTCCCCAAAATTTTATCATTTTAAATTAAAGTATACACTTGGATGTACAACATATTAAAAAATCATTAAAATCTAGACATATATATTTAGGTAATTTTAGCTTAAAGTCCAGCTAACGAATTAGCGCTCAGCGTACTAAGAATGTTCGGACAAACATTTACCTATGTTGTGACGATATTCCCCAAAATTTTATCATTTTAAATTAAAGTATACACTTGAATGTACAACATATTAAAAAATCATTAAAATCTAAACATATATATTTAGGTTAATTTTAGCCTAAAGTCTAGCTAACGAACTTGTTCTCAGT